GCATGAGAGTTTTTTTTTTTTTTTTTTTGTTTCTTTCTCTCCAACCACATTTCTGGAAGGCTGTCATTTTTTCTATCTTTACGTTTTATGTTAATATAAAAGTGCTACTAAATTTTTTGTTAATTGGTCTTACAAATTCAGCGGTAACACAATGAAATACAAAATGAAACACAAAATTGTAAGGTCAAGTGAAAGGTACGTATAATTCCAGGGTCGACCTGGGAAGCAATAGGTATTTTGAAAAGTAAGAGGAAGTTGAGGTAGTGAAGTCTTCAAAATAATGATAGAACTTCAAAATCATTGAACTTGGTAGCTGCAAACGGGGTGAAATGGTGAGGTAGCAATAAAATGTGGTCATAGGGGAGGCAGTTAACGGAGAAAGGGTAGGTTTGTACAACTTTTACGATTTTAGGGCTATATTTGGATCGATAGTATGATGTTAGGGGTATATTTGGACTGATAGGATAACCGAGGATAATATTAGACCTTTTTCAATAGTATAAGGACATATTTGACCATTTTTCCTTAAAAATATAATGAGTTCAATGCTAAAAACCTTATATGTTGAACCCATAGAGTTTTAATTCCGGATTCGCCTCTGGCCTTACATACTATTCAGGATCGGCTGACTGTTACCATGAAGTTTATTCTGATTCTGATGTTTGAGTTTCATATAACAAGACGACGAGTTAACTATAGACCAAAATTTGAGTTATGGAAGTCCAACTATTGAAAGTATAAGCTTTTAACTATTGTGTTAGTCTTTGATTTATAGTTTTTTCTTTTTAGAAGTTCCTTGGTTGGCATGAATCAAGAGTTCCAGTAATCCTACGGATCTTTCTTTTTAGGTGTGTATCTCATGTCTAAAAGCTTGAACATGTTTTAAAAAAAAAAAAAAAAAAAAAAAAGCTTGAACATGTTAACACTCTAAAAAACGTAAGTGAACAATCCGATCACCTTTTTTATAAAGCTCTTCCTGCTTTGGATTTTGAGATATTCAAGACTGGTTTTGCTTGGAGGACTACTTTAGAAAGGAGTACAGGTTGGTAATGGAAATTGCTATATACGCTTGCTCCCGAATTTGACACTGAAGTTTATATCTAAAAAGAAAATTCAAGATATATGATATAGAAACATGAGAACTTAGAGACAGAAGCAAATATGCACATCGGAATCGGAATACAAACTCCATGCACATAGTTACACATCTCTATTCAATCCGATGGAAGTTTACTTTGCTGCGATTTCCAAGAGGTGTAAAACCAGAAAGAAGTAAAAAAGATAGAAAACCAACTTGCTGCCCTAGAACCTTCGAGCCTAGCCCGCAACTCCCTTGTAGAAGGACTCCCACTTCAATTTCACCTCCCTAACCCATATCTTAAAGGGAAGATGGTTGCTTATCTCCAGAAGGAATTCAAACCTAGGGGGATAGGTGGGAGGTGGCGGCAAGATACAATAACCAATCCAAAAGACCATTCTTTTGTCTAAGTATGCCTAACCGCCGCACCATTGTATACACATCATATATTGCAGGAATTTTCTTATTCAGACACTTCTTTTTCCCAACCACATTTCATCCCTTTTTTCCTGTTTAAAAGGGGGGTTAGGGGTGCGCATTGAATAATTTTCTATATTCTATTCACTGAACGTCTAAAAAGAAATTGGGACGTATTACCATTGTGATAACAGGTTAAGTATCAATCTCCAGATGAGGAGTATGTTCTTGTATACGCTTCATTCATCTTTGTTAGATATTTCATGTCTTTTCCTCTGTCCTACTTCTACTAGTAAAGTTAGAAGAGCTTCACAAACTTGAGATGCATCAGCCTCCATCGGGTCATCGTTTAATGATGAATATACCATCCAAGCATGGTCTAATTTCCGTTTTGGCCTAATGACCACAGACCCAGGGACTTCTGCATCACGACAAGTGACAAGCCCGTCACTCTTCTGACCATACCTGATCTGAAGAAGCTGGGCGCATGCCGCCATCACAGCACCAAGAGGCATCACCACTGGAAACGTAGCAGGCTGGGCAGTAGAAAAAGTTGGCATTTCTGCGTGCGCCACACGGGATAATGTGGCCAAGACCGCTGGAGAAATGCTGGCCTCCGTTTGGAAGGAAACAACAGGAAGCTCCTTTGGCAAATGGTATTTGCTCAAGAATTCCTTCCTCTTCTCATAAGTCAAATCTCCCAAAGCTTGCATGTCACCCTTCAAAACAGCTGTGGATATTAGAATACCCTTAAGAGTAAACAGAAAGCTCTGAAATGGAACATGGCATCTATCGGAGTTTATTTCGCTTTGTTGTGTATGAGCAGCATAAAAGAAAACAACATGCAAAGAACATCCAAGACAAGGGATAGGCATGTTTCAGGACAACTCGAACTACACCCATTTGTATGATATGTAAATTTTGATGTGAAAGAATCTGATCATCCAAACTAAAAAAGGCAATGGTGGAGTAGCATAGTACTATTGAAAAAACCGTTTGGGATTCTTCTACACCTGATGAGGGACATGTGATATATTATCTAACACACTCACATACGTGTGACCTGGTTCTAAAGTTTACACGGGGACTTGAAAGATTTTTTTATGAAGAAAGAATTTTCTTGGTGGAAGTAAGAGTTGCTTGAAAGGCTAACAAAGAGACCTGGAGTAGAGAGAGACTGCTGACTACTAGACCTGTATAGCAGATACAGAGAGTAATCTCAACGGGATAAAAGTTAACCGAGAGTAACTTAGTGACTCAGATGTGCTGAATATAGAAAAGAAACCTAGAGAAATATAATAGATAGAGAGAAGACAATCGTAAAAATGAGCTTGCCAAGTTTGATTCGGACACAATGTGAATGGATCTGAGCATCCATCCCAATATATTAAGGCAGTGAACAGAGTAGCACTGGACCATTATAATCTTATAAGTTCCAGATTCAGACCATTGATCGGAATCTTAATATCTTAAGCATGATATTAATCATGAAATTCAATATCTGAAACTTCCATAGGGCATCTCCTGGCTCATGTCCAAATTGTTCTCTAAAAACAGGGACGAGAGTCGATCTTTTCCACAACCATTACATCCAGTCACTCAATCTAAGCTTGTTGGACCACACAATGTGCTTTCCCCAACTTATTGGAGAAGGTCATGCTCTAATTGACATAATTAAGTCATAAATCCAAAAAAGAGAGAAGGCAGGTTTTTCAGTTTATAGATGATCAAAATACTAGCCGTTTCAAGCTTAACCTCCAAGAAATTTACAAGTAGCATTAGATCAGTTTTAGTCAATGCTTGGAGCAATATATACGGTTAAAAATCACTATTCATAGTCGTATCATAACCATATTCAAGCAGAAACCATCTATAACAACTAGGCCATAGTGTCTCGAAACAATGTGCCCTTTGATTAGGAACCAATAATATGCATGAAGCTACTAATCCATCATAAATAATAAGTGAGAGATCCCAGAATATGACCAAATCTTGATGACACTTCTTTAGTTTTACAAATTCAGGTTGGTTCAATTTTTAACTGTAAAATAATACTTCAAATATATCTCCTCTTTTACACCTCCCTCACCAGGATTAGTAAGGTAAAGTCCGCACAGGAACCTTGCTCTGGCTGGTATTATCTTTTCAGAAAGAAAAAGAAAACAAGAGCTCACTGATACATTCTCACCAAAATATCCTAACCGTCCTCTACATAATTTCTCTCCCAATACAGGTTTAAACAGCACTTTCCTGAAAGGAACTAAGAATATATTGAAATTCCTTCCAACTCCTCATCCATGAAAACAAATTATTTTTCCATACTCTCTCCCTCTCCCTCTCCCTCTCCCTCTCTCTCTCTCTCTCTCTCTCTCTCTCTCTCATCCACTCCTAATAACAAGAAGGGTAAAGAAAAACTGCAAGGCTATGGACGAGTCTCTAGGACACCATAAGTGACTTAATGTTTTATCACCTTTCGTAGTTTGATGACCTAACTTCAGTAGATGTCTTTAATAAATAACTACGCACCCACTAATACCTCTACTAAAGGGAAACTTTTCAACTCCAAGTTTGAACTTTTCTTGACCACAATCTTCACCTTTAATCTCTTTCTTTTTATCGCCAAGAACAAAGCCATACGCAATCCTTGTCAGAAATACGTATCATGGGAATCTTGTATTACTCTTATCTCTTATTTGTACAAGTTGACCCACAACGTGAAACAGAGAATTTCCCTAGAGCTATTGATGATTTTAAGCATGACAGAAATTTCATTTGCTTGTACTCCATTGAAGCAGAAAACAAGACAATCCCATCCCACACTAGAAAAACAATGCACATCAATAACAAATAAGCAATAACTGGTGGATATACCTTGATTACTTTACAAATGAGAATCTCCATAATCTTGCGGATGTTTACATAATCACCAAGCTGTCCTTCTCGCAGAATGTCTGAAGCAATTGGACTTCCACCATAGGGACTCTGCGCTAAAACCAGCCCTGCAACCTTATCTTTCAAATCAGACCAATACATGGACAGAGCAGCTGCTGCATCTACTCCCCCTTTACTGTGTCCAAGAAGCAAGACACGTTTACTGGAGCCCCAATAAACTTCTTCAATGTAATCTTTTATTTCTCTAGCATTCTTTTCCACAGAGGCCTGCATATTTCATGTTTGATGGTATGAGATAAAATAATAAACTGCACACATGGTTTACAAACAAGAGAGATACCTCACTATGAATTTTGGCTATATGACAAGTGAGTCCCATTTTTGAAAAGCTTGTTTTAATATTAACAAAGTAAAGCGGTCCATGATTGCTAAATAGACCTGCACAGAGAGAAGAGACGACTAGCAATTATCAGGACATATGCTACTAAAGATGATTAGCTTGATCATAACTTGAAGACCCCTTGAATGATAAGATCATTTTTCCAGCATCCCTAATAACTAATAATTAAAAAGATCACGAATATAGCATGGTCCAACAGTGGTCAAAGACACGTGCAGGGAAATGAGGGAAAATAATCCACATAATTGTACTGATGCGAGAGACTTTTGGCACAACTAATGTGCTTTCCATAAATTCTCTGAGGCTGATCTAGTTTCAAATATTAACCATTTTGGTTGTTTACTATTGCTACTGATCGGAGGAAGGGTGCTTTTACCTGGAACTAACAAGTAAACCATTGAATTTGGTAATTTATGTAGTCCATGCCTGACAAAAAATATCCGAACAAGGTCAAATTGTATTCGAGCTGACAGTCGCAGTCAATTTGTACATCAAGTGGTGTTTGTACCTAATATCGTCGAGGATTTCCACAAATCTATCAGTTTGATCTTCGACAGGAGGCATATATGAAGCACGTTGTAGCCATCCAATATCATCAGCTGACCCACGAACCGTCCTTCTCACCTTCTCTATAAGGCTAAAAATAAAATGCATAAACCATGAGGAAAGGTACTTCAATAAGAGCACGAGTTGCACCAACCAGTAGTACCACAAACATCAATTGTTTTTACAGAATCAGTAGAAAAAGAAATAGAGTGAGTTTTACGGAAAACCGGCAATTTCTATGTAGTTTCAGTTATGAATGTGCAGATGACTATACATACATGATTATGTCTAACAAGAATATGATCTAGCATTTAACATGCCAAACATGTATCCATTCAGATAATCATACCCTTGGAAAATGGAAATGCCATTTGGGCTGGCCTGCGTTGATTGAAAAACCTGTGCACAGGAACTGTCAGATAGATCCTCTGAGTTCCTTGTTGCACTACCACTTTGAGAAGATTCTCTAGATAATCCTTCATGGAGAAGCGGAGCATCAACAGATGGTTGAGATGAGTTACAAACAGCTAAATGACTTCCACTTGAAGAAACACCACTGAAGGTGGGGGATCCTCTACTTTCTGCAGAACCAAATGTAACCATCTCCTGGCCTCCTAAGCCTCTAGAGGCAGGTTCTGCTACAGTTGGAAGTAGAAAACACATCATACAACCACTAAATTGCAAATCCATAACCAGAGTTCATATCAAATTCTAGGAGAAAAGAAATTTGCTGGCGCCAGAATTCATGAGTTAATATCATGTCATTGACATTTATGACCAAATTGCATCTCAAATAGAAGGGGAAAAGAAAAAACAGAAAGAAAAGTTTAAAATCTCAATTCCCAATTTTCCAGAGCCTCAAAACCTAAAATTCAGTGGCACTAAGATGCATGGCTTCAATTCAAAGCAAATAAAATCCAAACATGCAAACAAAAGAATAGGATAGTTATTGTGTCCCTCACCTAAAGGATTAAAACTAGCTTTTGATCATGGTAGACAATAGAGATCTTACATTAAAAGAAATCAACATCTTCCATTAGCTTTTGCCACATAATTTATCATGTGAAGTCTAACCTGGAAGATATTACTTGGGTACAATTGGCAAGAAATTCAGAAGGAAATTTTTTTAATACTCTAAAACAATAAAATAGAAGACTTTAAAAGGAAGAAATTCGACTATTCATGGAGTATATAAAGTCTTAATGCATCAAAAATCATGTAGGGACCAATCTCAGCCAACCATCATTAACCAACAAATTGGGGGAATAAAAAATTTACTAAGGGATAAGAGAAGGAACACATGAAAAAGTTCATGAAGCTCACCAGAAAAATCCACGAAACAGCGAGTAAATAATGATGATGTGTCTGCAAGATAGGAAGCAGCATCATTGAGAGCCGGGACAGAAGTAAGTAGCTGAGGGATACCCCTATTTCTTCTCAAAGAACTGTCATTCGCCTGGCCGAAAAAGGAGACAACATTAGGCAAATGATAAAAGACGAAATCTTTTCAGAGGTTAGGGACCAAATGATTCAGAACAGTAGGTAGAGGATTATCAATAGACATGTACACTTTAAAAAGATGAAAAACAAGGGATATCTGATAGAAGTTGATAACTTTAGCCCTTAGTTCTTGGACAAAAAGCTGATATCTGACCAGAGACCAAATCTGCACCAAATGGTAGTGACCGTTCCATGTAAACAGAGACATGAACTTCCTGGAGCAACTTAACGGAAAAGCAGAAATGCCAAATGCAGTTATGGATGATAATGGGCCGACCTTTTACACTATATAGGCCACCTACAACCACGAGTCTTGATGTGAGTAGATATGTGGATTTGGTACTGGAGAGGAGATGTGGGCAATATAGGTATTCTTAACCACTCAATCCTGCACCACTGTTTTTTTATTTCTGGTTATAAATCTTGTTTGACGTAATTTCATGTCAACGCAAGGGTTTGGATATACAGGACTGGCCATCAGTCACACTGCATGATGATAGTTGAAGATTGTAAATTCACATGCCTAGTATCAGGAACTATTTTCGTCGCAGCCTGCAACCCCTAAGCAGTCAGCTAGTGGATCTGCATAAATTACTGGAGTGTGGAGGCTAATCCAAAACAAGGCAAAAAATAGGGAGTGTGAGTGGAACAACAAGATGTCAGTAGGTTAACAACCATTTAGAATAAAAACAATGTATCTCCTCTTTTTTTTTTGGATAAGTAACTACACAATATATTGCCTTAATATATTGGATCCTTCACCTTCAGTTCACATATTCACAACTTTTTTCTAGGCACTTGATTCTAAGTACTTCAGTTACTATAATTTTCCCAACAGGTACATCCGATTCAGCCTTAACTCACGACTTCCATGAACTTTACTTCAATTACATTCAGCACTTACACTAACCTAGGAAGTGTCATTCAGCTTCCTCTAACTCCCGGTTACCATCTCTCATCAAGCATGAAATACAAAACGCAATGCCTGAAAGCCATTCCTCACCACCAACAATCTTCTAATGCTTTCCTGATAGAAGCAAGTTAATACAAGCTTATATTAATATTGAGCAGAAACGACAGGAATGTCCTTTTACAAGGCAAAGGTTTTTCCACATAACAGATCTAAATCAAAAGTTCAAGAATTAGACATTTCATTCGACAAAATACTTCCCACTTTCTACTTTCTCCCACCTCAGTCTTAAGTTTCCATCAATTGAAGCCTCAAATTCGTACCTAACTATTTTCACTGTGCTCCGCTGCTCTGCCAAATTCCAGCACTGCATGTGATTTTAAGCCAGATTTGTGAAAACAGAAGGAGGTCAAGAGTGAGGTTCTAGCTAAGTGCCACCGAACAAAGAGAAGTGCTCCGAGTCTCAGATGCTTGGTTGGTCTGTGGGCTGTGGCTGCCTGAGAACTGGCCTTCCCACTTAATTGTCTTATATAGCCACTACTAGAGGAAGAATGTAAAGATTTATAAAGTGGACAATCCACTAAATTATGATTCAATAATTTGATAAGATCAACGGGGAATCCTGTCCATGCTTAATGCAGATAGTTTTAATATGTCACAATGTCGAAAAAAGAAAAAACTCGGACTTAAGATTAACTCGAAGAAAAATCACGAAAATTTAGTAACTCTGTCCATGAACCAGTCCTTGTAGGTGACAACTCCAACAATCCTGGTACTACAAATATAGAGGACTTTCAAGCGGATGGGCTAGTAACCAAATGATCAAATTAGTTGACAATGCAGCCAACCCCAACTAATGCATTCTTCAACTAATAGAGAGAAAAGGAAAGGAATGCCACAAGTAATATGTTATTTGAAGTTGAAAGATGTCAAATCAACACATTCCAATTTACTGCCACACAAAAAAACCAAACTCTAAATTTCAACTGAAAAGCAATCTGAATTACGGTGACCTAAATATAAGGTTAAAAGCAGAAACTACTTGAATGTACAAAGAAAGCTAGAACAACTATTAGTATTCATGGATAAGTCTTCTTAAACTATTAGTTTTCAGTGGGAAAAACACTCTTATTTGAAAACTAGGGGTGGCAAGTGGGCCGGGCCCGGTCCTAAGTGGGCTTCGCGGGCCCGGTCCTAAGTGGGCCGGTCCTATGCGGTCCGGTCCTAAACGGTCCCGGGCTTCGCGGGCTTATTGTTGGAACCGGCTCGGAATCGGGACCACGAACTAACGGTCCCGGGTTAAGTGGGCCGGTCCCGGGCCTAAACGGGCCCAACAGAAACTTTGTATTTTTAATTTTTTTTTATAGAAGTTAGAGAAAAAAAATAGTAATAAAGATATATAAACTATATTCGATTTATATACTATATATACATCTTAAAATATATATATACTATATTATATATACATAGTATACATCTTAAAATATACTATATATACATCTTAAGATATACTATATATATATA